TGATAAAATGAAAAATAGATAAAAAGGTATAAATTCCTTTAATTTACTTAACATATCAGGATATTTGTAAATTTATTTCGGTGTAAACAATTTATGTATGTGATAAAAAATACTTTGAAAAAAGTTGCAATGTGTTATAAAACTAAAGTTAGAGTAGGTTATTTAGCTTTCCTTCAGCATTCAAACTGTTCTAATATATTTTCCATTAATTGCCACTAATATAAATCAAGTCACGATTTATGCTCCATATCAATTGCCGAATGAAAACTGAAAACAGAAGGCTGACTCCGTGCCTCAACTGAATTCTGCGTATGTCTTCTTCTGTGAAGAAGTATCAATTTCATAGTATCTTATTGAATTATCTGCAGACAAATAACAAAAGCTACACAAATGTGCTCATCAGTATTGCATGATGATGGAAGACACAAGCGAACTGTTTGCCATGCGGCAAAAGAAAATTTTTAATGAAATCAAAAGAAGGAAAACGAAGAAAATTCACGTAAATAAATGGAATGAAAATGAGATAAGAGAAACGTTAATAATACATCCTGAAAAGGCATCAGTTCCTAATTAACGTATAAAGAGCTAGAAAATTGTATCAAGCCCAAGCATGAATGCGGCGTTAACAGGGCTGAAGAGGATTCCCTAGGAGACATTACTAGTGACTGCTGGGCTGGTTTTATCATGCAGAGCACAATACAAACTTTTAACAAAATTGTCTAGTTCAACATAATTTTGGTGAAATGAGCTTTAAGAATTTTGTTCTAGTGATGAAGGACAACAACAGCTTTTAAGCGACTACAGAAACAAATTCAATCGGAATATTTCGCTGAACTGGATAGGATCATTTAACCTACATCTTACGAATTTAATTATGATTAAATTTTGCTTATTTCCTTGTAATTGATTCATAATTTGCATATTTCTTGGTAAATTATTCCAATTTCATATTTATATTCTATGTTGTGAGGAATAAATTTTCATAAAAACAAAAATCAACAAGTTTTGAGAAGTTTTGGTAAGTTCAATTTAAGTTTTTGAACTTCGTAAGTTCTAAACTTTTGCTTTTACTTCTTTTCTGTTATAAAATTGGTGGGAAAAGTTTGAATTCGCTTATAACTTTTCTGATTGAATTTGAGTTTTGATAAATAATTTAATTAAGCAATTAAAGATGGCATTAAAGAGATCGCAGTTTTAATAAAGTGACATGTGATTTAAACGACATTTCAAATAAAAACTAAAATTAAATAAATCAAACATTTTAAGCTATCACCGTAGGTAAATAATTAAACAGATGTCGGTGAAAATAACTCTTTTACATTGTGATAACAAGTCACAGAACACAAGAGTATTTTCTAAACAATTTCCTTTGATATTTTGATCTGAATCTGCTTAAAGGAACTCAACCAAGCTTGGTAAAAGCTATATCCTGTGCTACACCGAGCTGTCTGTCTAAGGTTGGGGCTTAATTTGAATTGTAGCTTAAACATTTTGTATTTGAAAAACTGTCCTCGCAGAGTTTTTTACCAATTTTTTCAGTTCTAGCAGCCGAAAAGTGAGAAAGATTACGTGAGAGTAACATGTCGTACTTATCACATTCGCTTGTTAGGGACTATAATCTAAGTTAACATAAAGACAATGTTCAAACAGAACATTATAGATTAAACTCTTATATACATTAATTGCAAATCGTCAACAATGAAATCTGTGGGTTTTGAAAAATAAAAAGAAAAAAAAGTAAAGCATGAGATGATTCAACAGATCTTAAAATCTCAGTGCATTGTGTGTTTAGTTTTTCTAGAACAACATTGTGAACAATCGATATATCGATAAATAACTCATTGTTGATTAAATATGGTATTATGACCTAAAGAATTTATTTTATACTGAGTCAAGAATAATATAAATATTTGTGATTTTACCTCAAGACAGGATGACTGTATGGATCATCAGTTCTACATGTAGGAGCAGATTGATATTCAAGATGAAAAAACTTAACAAATAAGTTTATAAGAATTAATTTTTAACTACAATACAATATTCTTTTATAGGCATTGATGTTTGATCAAGAACATTTTTTTGATCGCAGATTAACATTTTGAATTGCAGTCACAATGTTTGTATTATGGAGTAACGAATTCATAGAAATTCTAAGTAGTTCATTATGATGGAAATTTTCCCCACAAAATAGTTGAATTAGAATTAAGTTAAGCGGTTTTTTTAATGAAACTGTAAACAATTTTATTTCGTAGTAAAACAAAATGAAGCAGACAGATAATAATAATCGATATGAGTGATTTGAAGCAATCGATTGCTAATATATGTGTGTATGTACACTTTTTCATTTATGAGTACTACCATATTACTCAGACTCCATTGATGAAATGTCCAAAAATAAAAAAAAATAAATTTTTCAATGATACTTAAAATACTTGGAGTTGAATGAATCTTCGTAAGAATTTATATCAAAAACTGTGCGTGACTCAAATGATTGTACACAATGGCGAAGTATTTTTTGTGGTCTTTTGAAAATAGAACTTTCAGACAAAAATATAAAATAGAAAATCAAATAACGGTAAACAGAAAAGTTAGAAATGTGAAAATACAAACGCATATATGTGCCCACAAAATACACAAAATACGCTTTAGGGAATTCCATCAAATAAATTGTTTCCCCATCAAATGTTTCCCTTCATCAAATGCTTATAAATACTGAGAGAGATAGAATATATGGAAGCAAATATTGTTTATTACATTTATATAATTTTCGTGCTAGACGCCTAGTGTATGCTCAAAGAACCGCAATAGCAAACACAACATTTTCTGACGCTTAGACTCACATGTAAACCTTGGCCCCACTGCGTATGAGTAACGTTTATAGTTGACATATGAAAAGTGAAAGTTTTACCAATAATTTCCAATACAAATAAGCACTTTGAAATATGGTTGCTAGTGTATTAACCGAGGCGCTACACAAATCCTTGAAAAGGTAGTACGAGTAGCTGGAAAGCAATGCAAGTCCTTGAATTTATCCTTTATGCTTATTAGTATAAAATGAATTGGTTTGTGGTTGCGTGATAAGCTTTTAAGTAACTAAAAGTATATGTACGTATGTCAATCAATTGTATACAAATATCCCTGTGAAGTCTGTCATACATCTCTATAAATAAATCTCTCCATATATCTTTATATTTGCATATTTGATTATATGTTGTGTGTTTGTGTTTGTATATCCTACACAATTCATCAAAAAACTTGATGTTGCCTATCTGCTTGGCTTGTGACAATTTGTCAGTAGTTTATCCTTTATTTTCGGCTTATGTAAGCAAGTTTGACCAATATTGACTTTAGTATCGTTTGGCTTTGGTTCTCTAATTCCCTTTGATTAATAAAAAAGTTTAGTAGTGGTTAAGTTAATAGGTTTTGGCGTTTATGTTTATGTTTATAAAAGAAACTTTTTGATAGATTTTTTCGTCTCTGTTTGCTCGATTATAATTGTTTTATACTGATTCAAATTGAATAAAAGTTACGGTTTTGTAACTTTGTTTGTCAAATATTATTGCAAAACTTAGTAATATTAATGAAAAAATAATTTTTAAAGAATTGCATTTGAGTTAAATTGAATATGATAAACTATTACTAAATGATTAGTGAAAACAGAATTAATTGCATTTATATTGTCGATATCTTAAATTGATTTGATAACAAAATGCACAACAGAATACTTTTATTAAACCCTAATTGACCAATCCAGGTATGTATTTAGGGAAATTAGATTAGTTGACGTATTCTAAAGTACTAAAATCTAAAGTTTTACATATATCTGCTTTGGTAGGATAATGTAGGATAAGAGATTTTCTTACAGTATGCAGAATTTAAGCAAAAATGAAGTGAACTTCTTAAAGTTTGCAAACTAAGCCTAACTCTGATTAACGGATGCATTTGTTAGGACAATAAAATATTTTCTATTTCAATAGCCAGTTATTTGGTCTTGGTTCAAGAAATCTGGTTGCCAAATTCCAACACCAAAATATACTGTATCCTTCAATATATGTTCTAATATATAATAAGTGTATATCATCTATATCAATAGTCAGTTATTTGGTCTTGGTTCAAGAAATCTGGTTGCCAAAGTCGAACACCGATATACTGTATCCTTTAATATATGTTCTTATATATAATAAGTGTATATCATCTATATCAATAGTCAGTTATTTGGTCTTGGTGCAAGAAATCTGGTTGCCAAAGTCGAACACCGATATACTGTATCCTTCAATATATGTTCTTATATATAATAAGTGTATATTTTTTATTTCAATAGTCAGTTATTTGGTCTTGGTGCAAGAAATCTGGTTGCTAAATTCCAACACCAAAATATACTGTGTCCTTCAATATATGTTCTTATACATAATAAGTGCCCTGACGCCTTAATACGTATATTTATAACTAATTGAAATAAAGTTAATAAATATTTTCAGTTTATTTACAAATTCCCAGCAGTTTAAACACGTTAATTATATTGTTTTCAAAACAAAATAAATAGTATTCAATCCTGTACTGTTTACATACACTTACAACTACTTAATAATTAATAAATAATTAAATAATTAATAAACAATTACATATAGCTACTGTACTTTATCTGCTTGTTTGTCTTCATTTAACAATATTTTCCATTTAATACTTTGTTTCAAATATGAACATTATAAATAATTTATTCTATTTGAATTATTTTTAATACCTGAAAGAAAATGTTTACATATAAAATGACAAACGTCACACAACGTTCCATTTAGAAAGGTCAGTCAAGTGTTAATGGAATTTGAATCTGTATTTTTTGTTTTTTTTGTTTGAGAGTCTATTAGAGCTTACAAATTTATTTTTATTAAAAATGCTTAATATATTATGTATTTTTATATCAGTACTAATAACATGACTTGTATCGTACAATATATTTCGATAATATATAAAATTATTGCCATAGTTACAACAACGTTTAGCAGTTCAAAGTGACAGCAGAATTGTTTTTCGTTTTATACACACAATAATAGATTATTAAATAGATAATTTAATAGTTTATGAGTATTTAATGTGGGTCTTTTTTATACCATTTACACATATACACCTTTACATGAAACTTAAAAACTATAATATGAACGCACTCACAGACCGACCCATGTGTCAGGTGTTGAGAGTAGAGCTTTTATAAAAAATATAAAAAACTATGAAAATATATAAAAGATATAAATAATAAAATTAAGTAATTTTTTACAAAGAGATTAAATAAATATTTATTACATATAAGTATTGGCTCACTATCCTGGTCTCTGCGTCTATTTATTTATATATTTCGTCCTTTACAGAAGCCACCTCGCCGTTCACTTGTTCGTTTTTTGCTCGTTTGCGAGGTCACTGAAATGGTACGCTGTAGTGGACTATCGAAGTCACACATTAGTCAGCTAAAATCTACGCCATCGCCGTCATCAGAGCAGCCCGAAATAGTTTTATGGAAGGTGGCCGGTGCCATTAAAGCACGTGCTGCTATCATTTGGAAATTTTCGGAGGCACGGAAGCCACTGCGTGTACACACACAACGACATACAATGCGCTTGAAAGCAATGCGAAATTCATTTGAGAATAGCGCGTATACGATTGGATTTATAGCGGAGTTGCAATAGCCAAGCCAAAAGAGTACTGAAAACACAGTAGGTCCAATGCACTCCTTGCAGAAAGCCCGAATTAAATACATGGTAAAGAAGGGTAGCCAGCAGACTATGAAACCGCCAACAACAATAGCCAAAGTCTTTGCAGCTTTAGTTTCCATGCGAAATCGTTTAACTTGTATTTTAACGCTGCGCTTACCAGCGCGCTTCTTGTCCTTTGGTGATGGAGTAGCTGACTCTATATCGCGCTGGTTGTGCACATTAGCCGCATCTACGTTGAACGTTGTTTCGCCGATTTCAAGAAGACTTGATTTGAATGAAGCGCGTCTATTATAATGCAATGGTGTTTTGTTGTGATTAATGCTGGCAGTGGTGACCATGGCACAAGGCGGTGGTGATGTCGGTAATGAAGCGGGCATTTCGAGTACGTTCTCCGATGATGGATACGATACCTTAATAGCAATCTTTTCATGTCGCTGTCGATTGACACGCATCGAAGTAGTACGTTTCGGTGTATTGAAATGGGAAGCGTTGTGTTGCAGTGGAAATGTTGCCTCATCGCCATTGCTATTCACACTAAGTGTGGAGGACATTGAGTGTACGGAGAGTGGCGTACGCTGTGGCGTGCTGCAAGGTCGACCACGATGTATGCGCAACACAAGACGTGAATCGTCCATGCGATTATTACCAGACTCGCTGCCGCTGCCTGTAATTATTTGGAAGTCGCATTTTGTGGCAATTTAAATTAAATTAATTTTTTTTTTTTGGATTTAGGTTTTTCAAATGTGATAGTTAACATTATTCAGTAAAGTTTGATGGTGACTATAAGTGATGCATTCCATTAGGAAAATATCAAAAAATTACTGATTTAAGTTTATATACAAAAATACAAATTAATTACAAAAATGTGAATGCAAGTATCAATTTGGTGTTTATAAAAATGGAAAGTCAGAGAAAAAGTTTTAATTAAAAATGAAAGATTTGCTATTGGGATGAAATTTACTATAAGGGTATATATAATAATTATTAAGAGTTGTAAAAATGACTTTAACATGGGTGTAAATATTTACCCAATATAATCCGATTGGTGTTTTTCTTAACATTATTGTGTATAAATGATAAACCCGATTAAATTCTGTACAATCAGAAGTCTTCATATTAATATTCCATGAATTTGGGATTGAAGTATTACAAAACTAAAGTCATAATACATAGAAAGACAGTATGAAGATTGAAAACTTCTGGAAATGATAAAGTTCAAAATCCAACGTTGAAAACAAGATCCAACATTGGTCTATTGAAAAGAATTTGAACAGCTAAAGAAGCTTTTATATACTATAGTTTTTTCATGGTAGTCTAAAATACTTTTGTTACTTATATACATATACATATATATATCAGTTATAATATATATATATACACATTTTGCTATTTTATATATTGGGTTACATTGGGTTGATTGGAGATATATGGGGTAAGAATTTTAATTAATTTCGGATCAAAATTTTTGATAATATTTTTGGAAAAAGAAATTCGGTATATTTAAATAACATTGGTTAAAATGATGTATTTACAAAACTGACTTGTTGTATATAATTATTAACTATTTTCAAGGGTCTTTACAAATTAATGCAGGATTTATAAAATTTCTATTTTACTTATATGCGGAAATGAGGTTTCCAACAATAGAATAATTACAAATTTAATTATTTAAATTTAAAAAATTATTTATTTATATAACTAAATTGTAATATTAAGAAAAATTACTTTTGAATAATCATGCAAAAGGGCTAAAAGGTATGGTTAATTTTTGTATAAAATATTTTTTTTCAAATCTAATTTATTTTAAAATTATTTATGTAGTATATAAAAAGTGAAAAATATAAATATTTAAAAATGTATACTTGAATAAAAAAGTCATTGCATTATTTTATTATAATTTTGAAAACACCGCCAATAGCAAATAATTTTCTTTTTTACCAAATACTTAAAAGACGAAAACTAATTGCAGACACAAATATTTATATTATGAAAAAAAGGACACAATGCGATTGATTGGCATCTTCAAGTCCTTTTTTGGGTTTGTTAGTTAGTTACAGTCACAAAGTTAGAAATTTACATATAAAGAAACCAATTGAAAGTTACACTCACACGTACACAAAACAATTTAAATTAACAACAAATTTGTATAATATAATAAAATATTGTAGATAAACATCAAGATTTGTGTAAAACTTTCATAACAAATAAATTACTTATTATAAATACATACACATACAAATATAATAATATAGAATTTTGTTAAAAATTTTTATTAAAATTTTGTGTTTGAATTTATCCAATTTGTGTTTTTACAAATAAAATTACTGTTAACGTCTTCTAAGCTCTTACACTCAGAAAAGATACTCCTTAATGTTTTTCAATACACTTAGCACTTTATCTCTATAAATGCGAATAAATTTGTGTTTATTATAAATTATAATTTTCTAAAGTGTGTAGTTTTAATTGTATACAAATATATATATTTATTTTACATTTCTTCCCTTATTAACGATATCGTCTATAACAAGGCTGTCTAACCCAGTCATGTTCACGGGTCGATACAAATTACCGTGCAAATTGGAGGGCTGTAGAAAGTCCATGGTTTTTTGGAAAAAAATTAAAATAATGTGATAATATTAAATTTAGTTTTATCAATTTATTCCTTTGAATTCATACTATAAAAAAAAAATAATGTAATTTTACCAAAAATAATTAAAGAAGAATTTGCGTAATTGTAGTAGATTAGAAACATGTCGCGGGTCGCACATATATTAGCCGCGGGCCACATTTGGTCCGTGGGACGTGCTTTGGGTAGTCCTCGTTTACGATATTAACATCTGATTAGAAACTCTTTCAACACTTTTAAAAATATGTGGGTTTTAAGTGTTTTGTGACCAGAGCTGTGCAAAATCAATTAAATTACAAATTAAATTACAATTACAGAATAATTATAATTGAGAATTGAATTTTCAGATTATATGTGTAATTTAATTGAAAACCTCAATTACGAATTACAGTATAATCGTAATTTGTAATTTAGTTTCTAAATTACAGGCACAATTGAAATTGAAAATTCAAATTTCAAATTACGTGTAATTTGCTAAAGTAATCTAGAGAAGAAGAAGCATTGAAACTTCTGAAAGATGATAAACGAATCGAAACTATGGTTGAATTTTCACTTCATGAAAAAAAAGCAAAAATGCAACATATTCACATTTCGGTTTGCGTACAAAAGAAAAAATTTTTCTGCCTCTTGATCTGCTTTGAAGTTCTAATGGAACACTTCTACACACCAAATGTAAAAAGCAAAAACAAGCAACCCAACAAGAGACTATGAATGTCAGCGCAAACAAAATGCAAACCACTTATTACCCAAAATTCAACCATAGTTTCGATTCGTTTATCATCTTTCAGAAGTTTCAATGCTTCTTCTTCTCTAGATTACTTTAGCAAATTACACGTAATTTGAAATTTGAATTTTCAATTTCAATTGTGCCTGTAATTTAGAAACTAAATTACAAATTACGATTATACTGTAATTCGTAATTGAGGTTTTCAATTAAATTACACATATAATCTGAAAATTCAATTATGAATTAAATTACACAATAATTTATAATTGAATGTAATCTAATTACAAATATAATCATTACTGCACAGCTCTGTTTGTGACCAGTTTTTGGATATGTGTGTGTGAGTATTTATGTTATTTACATGTACTTATTTTCAATGCAATTTACAATTTTATTATATTGTCATTTAAATAGAATCAGTTTTCTAGAATATGAAATCATATTCTGTATCATATGAATATGAAATCATAACGAATTTGTATTAATACAGCGATTATAGCTAGCTTAAGTAAAGGGTGCTTTGGTAAGAAACATATTTGACTATTATTTAAAAAAGGAATCGAATTCTTTTGTTTTTTAATTGTTTGAATGCAACTATCTGAGATCTATTTTTAACATATTAAATATATTTTATAAATACTTTAATATGAATCATATATATAAATGAACAGAGGAAATGTTGTGAATAGTTATGTGAATAGTTGTATAATTTTATAAGTTAAAATTTTTGTACCTTCAGTATTTTAAGAGTTTTCTATACTAGTCTCATGTATTGTATATTTCATCACTGATATTGTTTCATTACCAATGTCAGTGACAATCTACTAAACTATCCACGAATACCCACGAATAAACAAAAGTATTACTACGACGACATGGTCATACTTCAAGCTAAGTATGTTAAAAATGTGATATAAATAAAGTGTGGCAACTTAACCTTATGTCAACGCCAAAAATTAAAATTAAAATAAAGCACTCATGATAAATTCCGAAACGATGCATATAGCATATAGCATAGAAACCTTCTATGGAAATGTTGCAAAAACAAAATATGAATGATAAACTCACGTGAGAAGTACAAAATGTGAATTCAGTCAGTTTATTTCTATCAGGCGGTACGCAGACACAAAACAAACATAACAGAGCAGAACAGAACAGAGCAGAGCAGAACAGAACGGAACAGAATGGAATGTACTCGTAGCAGAAATACAAAAATAATAAAGAAGAAGACTTACGTGGGCGAATTAAAGTGCATGCATGATTATGACCTTGAAAGACCTGAAAAAATTATTTCCTTTAATCAAAAAACCTCATGCACGAAAACGAATGCGAACACACATTTATATATGCTTTCTTGCTATTTTCCATAGAGCTCAAACTCGAGTGTAAGTGTGAGTGAATGACATTGCATGTGTGTTTGGGTTGAGTATAGCGTGTTCAAATAAAGCGAAAAGCATAGGCGATAAGCCTAGCAGAAAGTCACCAGCACCTATTAGATTGTGTTTCCTTTTTATGCCAAGCACATAATGTTTACGTGTGTATGTGTGTATGTGCACCAGCACAATTTTTACTGTTTTACTGTTGTTTATTTGCTTTTCTTTACTTCGCAAAGTAAAAGTCTACAACAAAAGAAATGTACTCTGATTCGTCATCATTTCAAAATAATGCATCCGAACGTACGTGCACGTGCTATCGTATGAAGGTTTCTGTCATACCGTACGGGTCTGATTGAGTGCAGCTTGAACTTTCTTGAAGCTGATCTATTTGAGGTTACATGAGTACACATGTGCTGATGCCTTATTCTACTCTATGTGTACTCTATCTGCATGACTGGGTGTGCCTATATGTGTATATTTTTTTTTCTTTAAATATCAGTCAAAACTTTTGTTTATCTTTACTCTATTTGGAACTGTTGTGACATATGTTGGAATAAATCTTAAATTCAATGCTGTAAAATCTGAATAATTTACCTTAACATATATTAATTTTAAACAAGTCTTGAATTAAAATTTTTTAAACTCTAAATATTCTTTAATCAACATTATTATTATGTTGTAGCTATTTGAGCCAGTGTACTTGAGCACTTTTACTCTCTATTAACTGCGAGGTTTCTTCGAAACCCTTCTTTACGCCTTGATTGGATTATTGTTTATCACTTCAGCAGACTAAGCCATAATTGACCTCAGATCTGTATACCTCCCCGAAGAGCTTGCAACCATTCTGAGATTCGATAACGCGGTGTTGGTAAGTTTTGTATCAATCTTGAGGTCCCTGAAAATGTCATTCGTCCTAATGTACCATGGTAGCTTGA